AGAACTGGACACGGTACTCCAGGTGTGGCCTCACCAGCACTGAGTACAGGGGAAGAATCACTTCCCTGGACCTCTTGGCCACACTGTTCCTGATACAGACCATGATGCCATTGGCCTTCTTGGCCACCTGGGCACACTGCTGGCTCATGTTCAGCTTCTTGTCAATCCAACTCCCAGGTCCCTTTCTGCCTGGCTGCTCTCCAGCCACTCTGTCCCCAGCCTGTAGCTCTGCATGGGGTTGTTGTGGCCAAAGTGCAGGACCCGGCACTTGGCCTTATTGAACCTCATCCCGTTGGAATCAGCCCAACTCTCCAGCCTGTCCAGGTCCCTCTGCAGAGCCCTCCTACCATCCAGCTGATCATCACTCCCCCCCAGCTTAGTGTCATCTGCAAATTTGCTGATGGTGGACTCAATCCCCTCGTTTAAATCATCGATAAAGATATTAAACAGAACTGGGCCCAACACTGATCCCTGGGGGACACCACTAGTGACTGGCCACCAACGAGACGCAGCACCATTCACCACCACTCTCTGGGCCCAGCCCTCCAGCCAGTTCTTAACCCAGCACAAAGTGCCCCTGTCCAAGCCGTGGGCTGCCAGCTTTTTCAGGAGTATGCTGTGGGAGACAGTATCAAAGGCTTTGCTGAAGTCCAGGTAGACACATCCACAGCCTTCCCCTCATCCACCAGGTGGGCCACCTGATCATAAAAGGAGATCAGGTTGGTCAGACAGGACCTGCCCTTTCTAAACCTGTGCTGGCTGGGTCTGATCCCTTGTCCATCCTGTAGGTGCTGTGTGATTGCACTTGGGATGATCTGCTCCATAACCTTGCCAGGCACTGAGGTCAGGCTGACAGGCCTGTAGTTTCCCGGGGCCACCTTGCAGCCCTTTTTGTGGATCAGCGTGACATTTGCCAACTTCCAATCATCTGGGACCTCCCCAGTGAGCCAGGACTGTTGGTAGATGATGGAGAGCAGCTTGGCAAGCTCTTCTGCCAGCTCCCTCATCACCCTGGGGTGGATCCCATCTGGTCCCATAGACTTGTCCCATAGAGGATCCAAATGGCTCAGCAGGTCGCTGACTGTTTCCTCCTGGATTACAGGGGGGCTGTTCAGCTTCTTATTAGTCTGTATTATCTTTAGAGGTCTAAAGGAGAGAAATAACTCAAGAATCCATATATATTATTTCATGCAGTACGTAGATCAAATTCATAATCAATGTTCTATGAAGCTAATCTACTGATTGATATTTCATTAATCCCTTTTTCCTTTCTTGCATTCTGTTTTTTCAGTGTTTCTAGACTGCCTCTCATTTCTTGATATTTTGATGTAAACAAAACTTCTTTTAAACTATAGAGATATTGACATGATTAGAATATTTTCAAGCTGTTTGCTAAAGATGCATTTTAAACTGGTTTTTGACTCTCGTAGTGAAGAATGATTTCATTAGAATATTAAGTTTTTTAGAATATTAGGTTTTTTCGTTAGAAAGTGTTAAGTTTTGGACCTTTTTCATTCAATGTTATTCCTTTTGCCATAAAAATTTATGAAGCTTTGATTGACCCTATAGTCTATTCTGCCTTTTGTTTTGTCCCAGACATGGTAACTGTGTGTGCTTGAGAGAAGATAGCTTATAATTCAAGTAAATGAATGTGTGCTTGTTAAAATGAAGTTGTTGTTTAATATTCCAAACACTCCATATGACAGAATGTGGCAGAAGAGGTGACTGAACTGTGGTAAACCAATGCCACTTAGCAGTATACTGATGTACTGTTTCTAGGAAATGTGTGAGGAAGACACTGTAGGTTCCTTTGGCACAGTTTATTTTTAACATTTGTTTGGGAAAATCTTTGGCTGCATGCGTGAAAAAAATCTTGAATGAGTAAATTAAAAACTTCTGTATTTTGATTTCATCGATAAAAGCAGAACAGCTAACTGATTACTGCACAGCTACATTTCCAAATTTCTAGACCAGGAATTCTGCTGCATTTGTTTAATCTGAATGAATTTCGCTTTTGTATGAAAAAGTGACCCTGAAATACTACTACTGACCTACCAGAGTAAGTTTAGATCAGCTAAGCTTTTTTGAAGTCCACTTAGCTCCCGTAGCTGTTCTGATCGTTACTGTTCTTTATTCAGGATAAGGTGTTCTTGCATTATGTACAATCAGTTGATAAAACAGTCTTAAAAAACAACATCTAGATTTAGCCATGAATAGACTCTATGTTGAATAAACAATATTTTTCAAAGTTATTAGCAAGAACAAATTGTTTTTGTATTACTTATCTCAAGCTAACTTGTTGGATCATCTGTACTATGGATGCCCATGGATTCTATCCTATTACACGTGTCTACGCAGAAAAGTTCATTCCACATCCTGGCTCCGTAGTTCAGTGAGATGAAGGACACAGTCTTCATCCAGGGAACAGTCAAAACTTGTGAGTTCTTTACAAGAAATTCAGATTCCTCTTAAGTTTGACCACTTCTACTGAAGTTAGACTTTGTAGTAAATAATGCTTGAATAGCCTGGCCTGTGCAGTGAAGTCCTTGACCTTGTCCCTGTGCCATTTAAGGAGGTGTCTCATGGCTTTGAGCACTGCAGATAAAGTGAGTTCTTACAGAAAGTGTTTATCTAGTATTTCTTATCCTAGTTTAAGAGTTTGCTGGTATAAATCCTCTGTCCTACATCTCCTGTTCAGTTCTAGTGTGTAATCACATGCATAGGCACAGAGACTCTGGAAAAATAATGTTATAAGAAATGTACATAAGCAAACCACTCCAACAAACAAACAGTCCAACCCCAGCTGCACGTGAGTTAGTCCAGACAA